CGTATTTACATTGTTTTTTTTTATATTAAACAATTGGTAATGTATTCTACATCAGAACGTTTGTAATCTTATTTTGTCGCTGTAATTTCAAAACTATTGATTTATTATTGCAATTAATTGTGAGTGGTTTAATCAGTTATTTAATGCATGCATTTTCCAAAAACAACAAAGATGAATTAATTCAATTTTTTTCTCTTATCTCAACTTTTGAAATACTTTACCTGCATAATAAGTTTCCATATTTTCCCAATTTTTTTATTTAAGACTTGTGCCTTTTCACATAGTGAAAGTGGTTTAAATAAATGAAATAGGTAAGTAATGGTGAAATCCAATACTGTGAAAGGATTAATTATTCACTGGATTTTAATTTTGCTTATTTCGCTGACTGAAAAATGTGCTAAATTAAAACCCAGTGAATATGTAGAATTTAGCATAGAACACATTATCTAAGTGATAAAACTGTGAATTTAAAACATACTGAATATGCCTGAAATGGAAAATCGGTGAAATTTAAACCCAGTGAAAATTAGTCATTTTACAGTATATGCTTTGCTTGTATGCATTTTTAATTTATCATTTACAGTGCAAAAGATGTAAAAAAATAAATACATATAATATTGAAAATTGTTGCACCAAACTGTCAGTAAAAACAACAAATCAGAGGGTCATGAAAGTATGCACCCTATAATTTTTGGTCCAAACAAGAGTAATAATTAATTATTCATCGATGGTGTCCAGTGTCCGAGATTACCCATAATTCCACGGGTGGGTACAGGCATTTACTCGTGTGGAAGTCAGATTTGTCACAAAGAACCAAACATAATTCAGTTTTGGGTGGCATACTTGGTGTCAAAACATGAATCCGCCCCATGAATTTCCATGATTATAATACTCCATATTTACTTGGGAAGTGCTTAACAGTGATACAGTGTACCGTAAATACTTCAAAGTGCAAATGATAACATTTGTGCTATAGTAAATAGTTGTTAACAGAATAAAGTAGATATGGTATACTGCAAAACTTGGAAAAGCAGCATTCTGATAAAAGTGTACAAAATGTGTAGGCCCTGAAGTTCAAAATTGGCTGTTGTCCTGGGCAACCCTTTATTGTTATGGGACAACCAAATTTTAAAACAATTTTTTTTATTTTTTTTATTTTTATAAAAAAAAACTGTTTAGTCAACAAGCAATGACTACATTATTATACAAGAAAAAAAATAACATGTAAATTTAGAAAATAATTTGACGAAAAGATGGAACTATCTTGTATCTCAAATATTCCACTCTCTCTCATCGCTTTTTACTGTTCCTCTATCTACCGGTATGTAACCATGGTATTTTGTGACAATGGGAAATTCTTGTGGGTTTCTCACTTTTGACAGATGTTTGCTAATAAAATCATCAGTGTGCCTCACACAAGCTCTTAATTGGAGGTTGTCAATAGGTGATTTTCCGTACAATTGCGAGATCTCGCGAGATGCATGAATGACGCGCGTCGAACGTCTGCCGCAAAAATCGAACGATTTGATTTTGAACTAGAATTTCTTTATTTCGTAGCTTACATTGACCGGCCGATCTTCGACAGAGGAATATTGCTTCCGAATACCCTTACTTAATCAAAATTGAGTATCATCAAATGTGGACAGCACACTATTGAGCATGGAAATGTCCCCGAAATACTTTGGCGTTTGTCGAATCCCACGCGATGCTTGACGCGACTACGATGATATGACCTTTGTTTGTCCTGTTTTTACGTTCGATTTCACGCATAACGTGTGATTCTCGCAGTGAACGGAAAATGGTCTATTCAAAATCCGGGGAGGTGAAAAAAATTGCAAGCAAAAACTAAATGTGCATACATGGTGTTACACGAACAAAATGAGAAATAAAAATTTACAGATAAGAGAAAGCAAAAACAAATTCCACAGGTCAGTTGGTTGACCCTTTGGTTGCTTGTCTAACAAGCTGAAGGCAATTAAAGGCAACTGGAATTAAAGGGCTACATCTGAGACCCATATATCTTGCGCATACATGGCGCGACGACTACCGCCTTTAAGGTAGAAGCCAACTCATAAATTAAAATACCCAGAATTTATTCATTTCACGATAAACTGTACGCCAAGGCAATATAAGAATATTGACCTAAAAAAAGTTGGGGGTCACCAGCCTTTTTTTCAAGATATTGATGGTTGTATTGTAGCGTAAAGTCACCATTTTTACACTATTATAACACTTTTCCCACAGGTTCCTATGGCAGAGATATTATGCAATATCTTAAAATCAAGCCTGGTGACATAAGCTGAAAAAAACATATATTGTTAATGACGAAGTTCTTTTTGTTGTTCTGAATTATTTAAAAACACTGGGTTTTAAAAAGTGTCAAAAAATGCAATTTTTTTTTTAACATTGTGTTCTATGGAATTGTTTTAAAAATAGCAATTTTCAAGAAATATTAGGACGCGTTTCTCAAAAAGCATAACTGTAACACACAAAATAATGCTATTTCATTGTACCATGGGACATTAGCTTCATGATCGTACATAATAAACTAATAAACATTGTCATGTGATTTATGACCAATTTTGTCAAAAATTATGACTTGGCTTCTACCTTAAGTGAGTGGAGCTATTTACCTACATACAATGGAGGCATATTTTTAATTATACACTCTTTATATTTATTCACGTCCTCCCTCTACTTCAAATGGAGAAACCCTAATCTAACAATATCCAAAATATCTGGTCATTTATAAAGTTTATTCACTTGTAAATAATGTAGTAAACCCTGAATCAAACTACCGGTAGTATCAGAAGATTAGATTCCAGTTGACCTCATGTGACCTTGAAATGCAAAGGCAGGTCAAAGTTCCCAACCTGATAAATATTTTTAAATACTCCGTGAAGATGAACTTTTCAGTGAGCTATCCCAACACCATGCCTCAAGCACTTGATAAGAACTCCATGTGACACCTGTCGTATCTGATAGTGCATGAGAGCTACGAGGTGGTGATGATGACTTCTTGTGTGTGATACCGGTACATTCTAGCTACACAACGCCAGCATTTGTTTGTTTGTTTGTTTTTTTGTAATATCAATATATATTGCTACTTGGGGAGTGATTCGGTAATATTATCTTTACAGTCAAGTATTCTACCTGTTGGGTAAGACAGTCAAAAAACAGGTATATAGTGTGAATTGTAGATGAAATACTAGAAATAGGAAGAGCTCCATTTTTAACACTAAACCCCACCCAAATTCAATTGCATATGACACCTAGATAACTATAGGTCCTTTGGAGGGGCATATGTACCGAAATTAAATTGGGGAGTTCTGAAGGTTAGGGGTAATTGCCCCCAGACGTCCTGTTTGATATGAGACTCATAGCGATGTATACAAGGTGTGTAAAATATATTGTTTACATGAAATTCAGACACGCTGTGCAACGAAAACCATCCTTCAAATGTGGGGGTAACAAAGGGAACTCGTGCCTAAAGACTAGTATTCACTTTTGGATGGACAAAGAATTAAAGTTATGTTTTTATGCCAAAATTATGAAGGACATATATACCCCAACCAATCATAATCATTAAGCAAAGGACAGAAAAAAACAGAGGCTTGAAATAGTTTCATAATGTATAATAGTTCTATGGGCACATTTCAGTATGAAAGCAACTTGTGGATGGTCGAATTACCCTGGGCTCCTGTCTTCAGAGAAAGCGAGAACATCGCAAAAGAAAATTCAATGTCCCCTTTATTTTGGCTTAAGGTAGAAGCCGACTCATGAATTTAAAAACCCAGAATTTATTCATTTTGCAATAAATTGTACTCTTAAGGCAATATAAGGATATTGACCTAAAAAAAGTTGGGGGTCACCAGCCTTTTTTTCAAAAAATTGATGGTTGTATTTTAGTGGAAAGTCGCCATTTTGACACTATTATAACACTTTTACCACAGGTTCCTGTGGCAGAGATATTATGCAATATCTCAAAATCTAGCCTGGTGACATAGGCTGAAAAAATCATATATTGTTAATGATGGAGTACTTGTTGTTCTGAATTATTTAAAAAATCTGGGTTTTAAAAAATGTCAAAAAATACAATTTTTCTTTAACAGTGTGTTCTATGAAATTGTTC